AATCCTAGATTAGAATTTGAAAAGGTACATAATGTAATCATAACATTGCTTGGGGTTTGTGTAGCACTTTACAGTTTACAAAGCACTTTTACACGCATTAGCTCCTTTGAGAAAATTGCAGGGAACTTGTTAAGGACAGAAAAGTAGAAAGAAGCCCGTACAATTCATCTGTGAACCTACCAGTCAGAGAAAAGCTTTGTTAACATTGTAATGTGTTCCCTTTGGTCTGTTTTCTATGTGACTTTTTGTTTGTTTGTCTCTCTGCTCTATTGGGATCATACTGCATATGCATTTTTATGGCCTGCTTTTTCATGGAGCATTGTGTCTTCCACCGTCTCTTTGATCCTTGCATCCATCCCCTGGGAGAGGAGTCACCACACTGCAAAGATTGCCCTGGTGTGAGGTCCCAAGACTGGATTCTCAGTCCAGAACTGCTTCTCCCTAGCCATGTAACTGGCAGATTTTTGAAATCCTCTGAGCCTCAGTTTCCTCCTTTGTAAAACAGAGATGTGTGCTCAAGGATTAAATTAATAAAGCAATCCACCTGAAAGCATTTAGCACTGCACCTGGCACGGAGCAGGTGCTTCATCCATATTAGCTGAGCAAAGGTACAAACCGCCATGTTGAGAATGTTCATAACATCAAACGCAAGGAAGGCAATCTGGTTGGTCCAGAGTCCCATAGATTTTGACATCGTATGTCGGACATCATAGTTGATGTGCTTTTGCCACAATACCCAGTGTGGTTGATAGACAACAGTATTCCCTAGACCCTACCCCTAAAGCACTGTGATGGCCAAAGGTGACCTCGGGATGTGGATGCCACTGAACCACATCATTGGTACCAGGAAGTTCATAGAGGCTTCTTATCCCCCAGGACTGCTGGTAGACCCTCCCGACCACGTCAGGCCATGCTCTGGTAGTTCTGGGAGCACTTTCATTCGTCACTGTTCCTTCTTTAACATGAGTACATGGCTGTGAGTACATCCAGTAGAGGCCTGTTGTGTACACAGGGTGCTCTAGATGTTCTAGGTACAGGAAATTGAGAGATGAATGCGATACAGCTCCTGCCTTGAGGAGCCCACTATATATGGGTGCTTTTCAGAAAATGGCTCCTGGAGCTATTTACCTTGGAATGTTGTTTTTTTCCTGACTCAATACACGCATGCATTTCTCATGCTCTGGCCACTAATTTCCTTTCTCACATGGTGAGGATACCTTCTCTTTGAAGGCTCATCAAAGAAAGACCCCCCCCCCCCCCCCACACACACATCTATACCCGTCCTCACAGGTTCCCACTCCTGTCTTCACTGAACTGAAGCCATGCACTCCTGTCAACACATTAAAAACACCACACAAATCAACCCCCCCCCAAAAAAAAACAACCCTGCTTTTGCAAAGAGCTTTGCAGATATTTATTCTCTAAAAGGGAATAATTGCGAGTGTTCTTTTGCAGTGTGGGTGAGAGAGAAGGAGGGTATGAGTTGGTTAAGTTCCCCATTGGGGGGCTACATTATAGTTTCTAGGTATATTTGGGTTCCTCAAGGAGGAAGATGTGCGAGTATCTCCAACACTCATGAGACAGAAGTGCTATCCAGGCTCAGCGAGACTCCTGCTTTCCCTGCCCTCGCCCTACTGTCTCCTCCAGGTGGTGGCTGAGGACAGAAAGCATCCACCCAGGTGTCTCCCCTTCTGAACTCTGATAACCACCATGGTAATAGATGACGTCTGCTGTGTCTTTATTCCAAACACTGTACTCTGCACATGCAGAATCTCTTGGAACCCTCCTACAACCCCCTGGGTAGTTCCTATTATCTTCCCCATTTTACACTTGCGGAAGTTGAAGCTCAGAAGGGTTAAGTACCTCACCCACTCGCCCAAGACTGTACAGACTGGAGTGGGATAGAACCCGTCACCTCAGCCACGGTGCTTGTGTGCTTCTTGACCCACGGCGGAATGAGCATCTTTCCTGGAGAGGTAGCTCGGTAGTAGAAGGACACAGGCCCCAGTTTGACCTCCCTGAGTGACCTCAAGACCTTGAAACTGCTTTTCAGCTGTCAAATGAGGCTGCACATGCCTCACTGGAGGGCTCCAGGGGAAGGGATAACACGTACCCAGCACCTTGCACAGAGCCAAGTGCATGCTTGTTTGCTGTCCAGCACATTTTCAGCCATCACAGACCTTTGAACTGCAAATATCGGACCAGATAATGGGCTTAAGGATGATCACCTTCTATGCATAACATTAGAGGATACGATGGGAAAATTAGAAAGACAGGCCTTCTAATGATTACAGTCTTCATGTAGCAGATATTTCTCATGCATGCAGCACATGAATATTAAGTATCTGCCATACCGTGGGCACGGTGCTAGGGGCAATGGTAAAGTGTCACTGTGTCACCAGGAAAGTTGCCCTTAAATAATTTCAGTTCAAATTGACAAGTGCTTTAGTGGAGTTATGAATTGAGGGCTCTTGAGGCACGGAGAAGTGGACCAGCTCTACCTGGCAGGGCTAACAGAGGTCTCAGACGAGGTGTCATCCAGGCTGAATCTTGAAAGGTAAATAGAAGGTCCCCTAGTGGAGAAGAGCAGGTGAGGAGAGTAGAGAGGGAAGAACATATACAGCGTCACAGAGGGAAAGAGGGAAAGGCAGGTTCGGGGAGCAGAGAGATCCCTGGTGCAAATACAGAGGACACGGGGTTGGGGGGTGGTGGTGATGGGTCAGAGAGAGAGGATATGATTGTCAGCAAGGACCTGGATTTAATCCTGCAGGTCAGAAGGGGTCCCTTGGCTCCTAGAATATTAGACGGAATGAGAATTCCCATGTCCTGGGCTTACATGAATCTTCAAATAGGCCAGGACTTCAAATCAAACTTCAAAAATGGAAGAGTCTCCCTGATTGCATCCTTGTTAACAGTTAAAAATCTTCATGATGGATGAGAACATCTCCTCGATCACTGAATCTCCACTGATCCCCCCAAGTGGCATTTGGAAGTAGGTGGGTGCATTTGGAGTTGTACGAGGCTGTCTGGAGAACTCTACAAGCATTTAGTGGGCTGGGGCCCAGGAGGCTAACTGTTCGGGGATATATGGGACAGGTAGCATAATGCAAAAGCTCCCTGCACAAAATGCCAGTGACCCCCTGTCAGTTATCTATGGCTCCCAACCTGTAAAACCTCAGTGGAATACAGTGAGAAGTGTTTATCGCGGCAGCTGAGCTGAGCTTGGCTGGGCTTGCTCCCACACCTGGGGCAATTGTAGAGCTTCTGCTCTACTCCAGGTGTGTGTCATCCTCCAGCGGGCCGCCCAGGCATTTTCTCATGGTAGTGCTGGAGATTCAAGAAACACGCAGTTTGGGCGCCTGGGTGGCTCAGTCGGTTAAGCGGCTGCCTTCGGCTCAGGTTCAGGTCATGATCCCAGGGTCCTGGGATCGAGTCCTGCTTCGGGCTCCCTGCTCTGCGGGGAGCCTGCTTCTCCCTCTCCCCCTGCCTACTTGTGTTCTCTCTCTGTCAAATAAATAAATAAAATCTTAAAAAAAAAAAAAAAAAGAAACACGCAGTTCTTGAGGCCTAGTCTCACTATTAGGGCAGTGTTGCTTCCTTACCATTTTATTAGCCACATCAAGTCTCATGATAAAGAGTAGAGACGTGGGAGGGGGTGAAGAATGGAAGGGATTAACGCAGTCATGTGCCGTCACACATATCTTGAGAAATAAGGCTATAGTTTAATCTAGCTATATCTATGAAGACAATGGTTTTAGCTGAGACAGGGTCATACAGAAGTGAGTTAATATAATTCTTGTTTACTACACTCTTGGCTTGGAGATTTAAAATATATGTACACATTCTTCTTGGAAAACTGGTCTGTTACATTCAGCTAGATTAGTAGCTCTAGCCATGTAAACTATAATCTACATTCAACTATCTGCCATCGTGTAATGGACTAGGATGATGTCACAGAAAAAATATTAGAACCAGCCATGTGACCTTTGGCAAATTCATTTGAAATATAGTTTGCATATAATAAATCCACCCATTCTAAGTGTGTAGTTTGTTGACTTCTCACAAATGTATACACCCTTGTAACCATGACTCTAACCATGACATAGAACATTTCCATCCCCCAAAAAAGTTCTCTCCTGCTTCTTCCCAATCTATCCACTCTGCCCCCACGCATTCAGTGATCTGATTTCTAGCCCTATTGAAGTTCTTTTACTTTTTCATCGCAAATCATCTGAGAAGCAGGCCCAGTCACCCCTGCCTGGGAGGGATATGATGGGGTTGGCATGACATGGTTGTGGATTGGCAGCTGCACATCCTCAGATCTGGATATTGTGCTGTTGGCAGGTCAACCTGTTGGCTTGTTGATATTGTCCTGTTGGCAGGACTGTTGGCAGGTCAACCAGCTCTTGCACTGGTTGGGGTAGGAAGGCAAGTAGAGCTATGTAAAGAACTTCTACCAGCAGATTAAGGGAGCAGGACTTCCCGAGAGTTAGAAACAAGAAAGAAGAGTGGATGCCAAGACTTGGATGAAATGAAAGGAACAGATTTTTAAATTTTGTTTATGGGTTGGTTTAGTCTTTTTCTTCAATACCTGCTACAGAGATTGAAGTCTGTAGCTCTAGGCAGGAGAGAAGCTCATGCAAAGATACTGCCCCATTTGGATTTTGGTACTTTCTTCCCTGTTACTTGGAATTGTACTAGGTCACCTACCAAAGCATTTTTTGTTTGTTTTTAAGGAGTTTGTGGTTGCTTATGTATTTGTCAGTGACCACCATCATTCTCAGCTAAGAGGGTGCTTGTTTCTCAGATGGCGAGGACAACTGCCCTTCATCATTGCCTTTTTAAAATTAAATTGCAGAGGAAACTAAAACCAGTGATCCTGTCCTCCCATGTTTGACCCATCACCAACATCCAATGAGTAACCATCTCAGGCAAGGGCAGGCTCCTGGCTCCTTGGGGCTTCCCTTCTTGGTTCCATACCCTCTTCTCCTACATTTCAGCTCCAGAAGCAGCTCTCTGAGCTCGATGAGGATGACCTGTGTTATGAGTTCCGGCGAGAGCGGTTCACTGTCCACCGAACCCACCTGTACTTCTTGCACTATGAGTATGAGCCTGTTTCGGACAACACGGATGTCACCCTGGTCGCTCAACTCTCCATGGACAGGTAGGCAGACGGGCCCTGACCTCCCCACAGCCCCACCCTGCTGCTCTACACCCAGTCAAAGGGAGAAGGGAGAGATGGTCTGACAGACTTAGGCTTGGGTCGCGCTCCTCTCCAGCACTGAAAACCAAGGGCTCTTGTCTTCCGGTGAGGGTGGTGGTTTTGAGAATAAAAGAAGAATTGATTCTAAAGAGTAGAGCTCTACTCAAACTACTTTAAGGAAAAGGGGTGTATTATAGGGAAACACATATTCTGGAACCACTATCACTGCTGGAAAGCAATTGCTGTTTCTTTTCCTTAGTGTATTGATGCAACAAACATCTACCAAGCCTTTATCTGGAAGTATTGATGTGATCCCCGCCCTTATGTGGCTGACACTCTAGTGCACTGATTGTCAACCTTGGCTGGGGCCAAACTGAATCACCTGGGGAGCTCTTAAAACAAATGCACCTTCGAGCTCCATTGCAGACCAGTTAAGTAAGAATATTTGTGTGGTGAAGACCTTGCATTGTTTTACGCTTGTGGTGTGCAGCCAGGGTTAAGAACATAAGTACAGCGGTATGAACAGAAAATAAATAGTTGAGTAAGATTATTATAATTGTGATAAGTTCTTTGGAAGGAACTGAGATTGATAATAACAATGTCAAGAGAGGGACCTTCCTTGGGTGATGTGGTCAGGGGAAATCTAAGGAGGGGACATTCCTGCAGAGACCTGAAGGAGGAGAAAAGGAGTCAGGAATGTGAGTTGCTGAGAAAGAAAAAAAAATTTTTTCCAGGTGGATAAAATAGCAAGCGTAAAGGCCCTGTGGTGGGAGGGGGCTCGGACATTCAAAAACATGGTAGAAGAGCAGTGGCTGAGGCAAAGCAGGGATACGGTGTGAGATTAAGATTATAGAACATTAGAAACTCACCAGAACATTTTGGATTTTATTCTCAGTGTGGTGAGAAGTTATTGAACACATTTACACAAAGTTATATGATCCAATTTATGTCTTTGAAAGCGTCTCTCTCGTTGCCAGGGGTGTGTGGATTCAAAGCCCCGAGGTCACCCCCTCAAGGCTGTACTTTTCCATACTGGGTGTCCTGTGTGTCTCCCTCCCACCTCGGCCCACCAGCTTTCTCTTCGATTTACACATTTCCTCTATCCCCAATTTCCTTCCTTCCATTGCCCCTCAGCTCCCACAGTTAGGCAATCTGAGTGGCTCATTCTGTCTTTGAGTCACCTTGGAGATGCCTGTCCAGTCTATGGCTGCAACTCCATGGGATGTTTCCAGGATTAAATGAGTTCACGCCTGTGGCGTGCTGAGAGCAGTACCTGGTATACTTGTTAAGTGTTCAATAAATACCGCTTGTTATTGGTGGGGAGGGAGTAAAGCATGGGCAAACCAGTGAAGGAGCAAGCACTCGGACATGAAAAGGTTCACATGCAGAAAGTGGTCTGGGAGTTGGGAGGAGTGAGTAGAACCTTGCATCCAGAGACATCCGGGAATGAGTTACGTAGAGCGTAACTGATGGAAGCAGATGCCTCACTTTGAGAGTCCCACTGTGCATTGGTGGAAGCTCACTGGTGAAATTCAATGGCTCCATTGGCTGGGGTTTTCCTGGAGGTTCATAGGCCCAGGACCTCTGTGCAGAAACACAGAGAACTTGCTGAACGTAACAGGTAGCAGGTAAAGATGAGCGGGGACAAAGGGGAAAAGCACAGAGCTGCTCATACCAGCTCCATCCTGACCTGCTATGTGACCTCAAGCAAAGTCTTTCCCTTCTTGTGGCCTCAGGTTCCGAATCTCCCACATTCACGTGACCGCTCAGCAAATACTGTGTAAGCATCTATTACTGTGGTGTGCCAGGCTCTTGTGAAGCTGGGGATATTTATAAGAAGACCCTATTTTTGCTTTCAAGGAGTAGATAGCATCTTCATGACTCAGTGTATTAGTTATCTACTGTTGTAGAACAAATTGCTACAGATTTAGCAGCTTAAATAACATTTAGTATCTTGCAGTTTGGGGGGTCTGGAGTCTGGATGGGTGCTAGCAGGGTCCCCTGCTCAGCTCCCAGGACTACCATCAAGGTATTGGCTGGAGCTGTGATCTCATGGGAGTCAGGGTCCACCGCTAAGCTCATTCAGCTTTTGGCAGAATTCAGTTCTAGGACTGAAGTCCCCGTTTCCTTGCTGGCCATTGGCTGGGGTCCTTCTGAGCAACAGGAGGCCACCCTTAGGTCTTAGCCATGTGGCCTTCTGACAGTATGACAGCTTACTTCTTCAAAGCCAGCAGGAGACTCTCTGCAGGCTGTTCCATCATGTAACCCACAGGAGTGGCATTCCATCCCATTACTGGGTTCGGCTCACACTCAAGGGTGGGGGTTGTACAAGTGTGTATGCCACGGGGCAGGATTTGTGGGGGGGGGCCAGCTTAGAATTCAGCCTGCCCCAGACAGGTAACAGGTTCTTACTCTAGAGAGATTCTGTGGGAGGATCCCCCAGCCCGTCTGGGCGGTGGAGAAAGGAAGAGACAGGGAATGGGTCCAAGGGGAGGTGTTGCCTGCATTGAGTTGCGGGCGCGAGTAGACGGCCTGTAGAAAGCACACAGGGAGAGAAGGTGGAGCATGCAGCATATTCAGGGAACAAAGAGGCCCCCAGGCCCGCTGGGAACACACAGGCTCTAGTGTGGTTAGAGCTTAAGGCGTGGGTGAGAAAGAGGGGAGCAGATGGGTTTACAGAGGGCACAGGGGAAACCAGGACAGGTGGCCTCCCGCCGGCTCAAACCCATCAGTGAGGCTTCATAAGGGACTGAGCTAGACCAGAGCCCCAGACTCACGCCTAAACTTCTGTGTCCCTTTGGCTTCTCACCCAGCCTTCAGTTTGGGCACGCACACTCCCCCACCAGGCAGCACTTGAGCGAGCGACGGGGCTGTTAGCAGACCTCTCTTCCTATGTCTCTTCTCTTATCCTCTCTGCCATTTCAAATGAAAATAAAATCCAATCCTTGAGATTCGTGCTGAATGATGGCTGAGATTAGTCTTCTGTTCTTCAGGCAACACAAATGCCCTTCAGGCCCCTCAGATGGGTTACCTGAAGCTCAGAGACTGCATCTGCCCAGGTGAGTGAGTTCCAGATAATTCCAGGTTCTCACCTCATAGAGCATCCCTGGTTTTTCTTGGTCCCATTCACGCCTCCTGTTCATACGTTCCGTTTATCAACAAAATATGCTGAATCAAGATTAGTAGCCAATGGGTACCTCCAAACTCAGGGGAAAATGAAAGAGATAAATCCAACATGCTTTCTAATCAGAATCAAGTGGCCTGACCTTGAATAATTTGGTCCCTGGAGTCAGGCCCTGTGCGGTCTTGGTGGCTCTGCCACTTCTTGGCTTTGACCCTTGGACAAACCAGCTCTCCCAGCCTTGGTTTCCTCATCTGTAACCCAGGAAAGGCAATGACAGTAGCCCCCCCCCCAAGGTTGTTGTCATGACCACGTGAGATCATGCATAGCCAGGACTTAGCCCCAACATACAGTCAGAGGCTCCCTATCATTTGACAGCACCGTTGACCAAAGTCTTCCTATTTGTGCTCCCACACAAAAGGCCACTAGACTCACAAAGAGCTCCAGGTTCAAATCCCACGGGCTCCTTTACTCCTCCAATGGTGATCTTGGGCAGGTCATCAACACCTTTGGTTATCTTTCTCCTTCTATAAAGAGAGTTAATACATATTTGCCTCCTAGGGTCCTGATTAGGATTAAAGGAGAGACTGTGTTCGAAAGCCCTTGGCATATATTTGGATTCAGTGAATATTTACAGATCTGAAAACCCTGACCACAGCATCTGCACATGGTCGGTATTTAGGAGAGGTAAAGTGATGCAGGACAACAAAAAGAGAAATATCTGGGTTCAAAGTCCAGCTGCACCACTTACTAGCTGTGTGAATTTGGGCAAGTTACCCAGGCTTTTTGAGCATCATCCGACTTACCTGTGAAGTGGCAATGATACCGTCAAGGTCACAGATCGGTGTCTGGGTTTTATAAAATAAGAGGCGCTAAAGTGCCCAGTGGGTAGTAGGTCTACAGCAAATATTAGATTCCCTTTCCTCATAGTTTTTTTTTTTTTTTTTTTTTAACCTCTGTGCTAGCTATGGAATTCGCAATCTGGAATGCACAGACAATTAGAAAGAAAGGTTTTTCAATTATTAACACCCCAAATCCATCCCTCTGTAGACAGTCGCCATCAATAAAAGGATACAGGCGAAACAGAGCCCCTCTCTCCTAGTGCCGGCTGGAGGCAGGACCCCCGGCAGCACCTTCCCTCCCAGCCCGCTTAAAAGAAAACCCTGGCCCCTCTCACGTCTGCCGCAGACGCTAACCGCAAAGCCCTTCTCTTCAAAGTGCACGCATCCCTCGGCATGGCAGGCGCACGATTCGCCCCTAACGCGTTGTGACAAGTATTGCCATCCTGACAATACCCCAGAGAGCCCGAGGACTTCCACACCCTAACGCAAGCGACTTAGCAGAACATAATAAAAAATCATAGAGCAGTACCACAGGCTGATAGAGATGGTGAGAATTCCTCCTTCTGCTCCATCCTGCACATCCAATTATGATGCAGCAGGCTGACTGGTGCCTGTTGGATTGATTTTTAATTGAAGAAACATTTCGGGTGTGTTTGTAAACCTTTGAGTCAGAAGCAGGCCCTACGTGAATGCCACAATGAATTAGGGGAGCTGGTGTGTGGGCTCCTGTGCCCGGGTCCCTCTAGAATTCTGTTGAGAAAGAATGAACGTTGCCCGCTACAACCGTGGAGCCAGCTCCTCTTCCAGCACGCGGGAGACCGCCCTCCCATCCCAGCAGCAGGTGAGAACGGTCTCGGGACAGAGGGGGCTGGCCAGGAGGGCTCCGGGTCACAGCATCCTGGCCATCTGGCCAGGAGACGCTTGCTCTTCTGTGTTCCTTTGACAAAGTTACCGAAGTACTAAGTGCAGCTCCAGGGGACCACGTGGCAGATGGGTCTTCTCTGTTTTCTGTGAGCGGAGGAAAGAGAACGTTAGCTGAGGTAAAGGGGCCCACGCTTTAGATCACCCGGGAGTTCGTTGGAAATACAAAATCTCGGTCCCACCCAGACCTAGCCGACGGGCACCTCTAGAGTGGGGCCCAGGAATCAGTGCTGCAGTGATCTTGAGCATGCTTCGGGTTGAAAAGCACTGTTCTAGAAAGTGAAAGGGAACTCCCTTGTCCATGTAACAGCCAGAGTGATCTTCTAAAAATAGACAGATCTTCCTTGACTTATGGTGGATGGGGTTATAGCCCAATAAACCCATCACCAGCTGAAAATACCATAAGTCGAAAATACATTTAATACACCAACCCTACCAAGTGTCCTGGCTTAGCCTCGCCAACCTTAAACGTGCTCAGAACACTTACATTGCCCTACAGCTGGGCAAAATCATCTTAACACAAAGCCTATTTTATAATAAAATGTTGACTATCTCATGCAATTTATGGAATACTGTATGGAAAGTGAGAAACAGAATGGCTTGTCTGGGTGCAGAGTGATTGTCGGTGTATCAGTTGTTGACCCTGTGATCCCGGGGATGACCGGGAGCCGTGGCGACGGCTGCCCAACATCAAGAGAGAGCATCCCTACTGCATATTGATAGCCTGGGGGAAAAAATGTAAATTCAAAACACGAAGCACGGTTTCTACTGAATGCATATCACTTTCGCGCCATCATAAAGTTGAAAAATTATTAAGTCAACCCATCATAAGCTGGGGACCGTCTGTCTATCAGGTCAGCATCTTTAAAACTCTCCGATGATTTCTAGTTGGCGTTTAGGATAGTACTACAGCTGCCGCCGTGGCCTTCCCGGCCCCATGTCACCTGCCGGCTCCCCAGCATCTTCTGTCCTCCTGCCCCTCACTCGCCCATCTTCCCCTCTTCTTGCTTGAACACGCTACCCTCAGTTACCCCCAAGAGCTGCTCCCTCTCCTTGGAAAGCTTCTTGCCCAGACTTCCTCAGGGCTGGGTCCCTCTCCTTATCCAAGTCTCAAATTCACATCCCCGGCAGGCCTTCCCTGGCCAGTCCTCAGGGTTCCCCCATCTTGTTCCCTGATCTGCTTGCCTCGTTAGCCCTCGCCCCCTCGGAATCTATCTTGGTTGGTTCTGTGTCTTCTCCCTCCACCAGAAAGAAGCTCCGGAAGGTCAGGAACTTTGTCTTTCTCGTTTGTCCCAGGGCCCAGCACGTACACCTGCACATTGTAGATACATAATAAGTATCTGATGGGGGGGTGCATGTTTGAAAAGCAGAAATAGAACCTGTGGAAGAAATTACAGCTGCCATCTATTGAGTACCTGCTGCATATCTCGCTTTGTGCCGGACACTTCACAGAAGCATGGTAAGCGGGCTTGTCAGCAGGGGCAAACCCCGCCGCCAGAGCACTGTGTCCTGTGTCCTGTGTGAGCAAGTCACAGGCCATCCCAGAATCAGTGTGGGGAGTATCCGCAGAGGCTGCAGATTGAGAGAGAAATGATTTGTAGCCATTTTGTGATCTACGGAGGTATTACTGTCCACGCTATGCACATGTGGAAATGGAAGCCCAAAGAACTGTCATCTCTTCACTTGATCTCAGCCAAAGGAACTGTCAGCTCTTGCTCAGGGATGCTGACACAGCTCAGAGTTCAAACCCAGTTCTGGCTGACCCGAGAGCCCACCGTTGCACCTCCATCCCATGCAACCCGCCTTGCTCTCATCAGCTGCCTTGTAGGGAGGGAGCTCCCCAATCCAGCGGAGGCCAACTGGCCTTCTAGAATTCCTTCCAACCCAGTCTTGTAGGTTTCTGACTTGGCTGCCTCCCCTCCCCCCTAGACAGAGCGCACGAGGCTTCCTGGCTCAGTAGGACTCCCAGGGGTAGCCCTGGCTTCCAGCTAGGCCGTCCCGACATCTCTTTGGCCTTTCTTGAGCCTTTGCCCTCCTCTTGGCAGCGTGAAGTGATGGTGGGCCCTCTGGGGACACGGAGAAGAGCATGGGACCCAGAGTTGGGACCGTGAGTCCCAGTGCTCACTAGCCCCTCCACTCACTCACCCAGTGCTCTTCATGCTCCCCTCCGAGGCTGAGCTTCTTCATCATCAAGATGGCATGGTCAGACCAAGAAAACCTCTACAGTTCTGTCCAAACGGAAAATTCTGTCATTTGGGAATTAATCTTTGTCTTTTGAAACACTCTCCCTTGTCCCCAGTCCTTGCTGTGCTACGTACTTTATCATCCGGTGTAAGAGACCAAAGACCGACTCGGCACAGAACTCCGTGTGGACGCGAGCCACACAGGACAACTTTAGGGTGCAGGTGTCTGGACACACAGCCAGGAGAAGGGTCAAGAGAGCGGCAGGTCTTTGGGGCAGACCCCCAGAGAGACTGAGGAGGAGGAGGAAAGAAAGCACAGAAGCTGACCCCAAGGGAAGAACACATTCGTGTCTGGGGAAACGGGCAGTGGAGAGAAGACCCTTGGGGACATTTATCCCAGCCTGCCCCGCAGTCCATACGGAACACCAGTCTGGGTTCTGGGCACTGGGGTCGGACAGACCTGGGTGTCAATCCAGCTCCCCCGCTGTGTCACTACGTGACTCGAAAGAAGTCACTTCACCTCCTCGAGCTTCCTGACCTGTAACAGTGATGAGAATCTCAACTTTATAGAGTCAGTGTGAATGTTGAAAGCAGTAACCGTGGAAATGCACCCGGCCCACTCCAAGTAGCAGAGAAACGGTAGAGATTTATTCTTTCGCCATCACATTTTATATGTTGTCATCATTATGATACATCTCAGTCTGTCGCTGTTGTTCAGGTCCCGGCAGGAAGCTTGGTTTTGAGGGAAGAGAGGTCGCAAAGCTGGGGGCTGGTGGCAGACGGGCAGGAGTGGCTGGGTCACCTTGACTCTTCCTTCAAGGAGGTTCCACGAAACATCTGGCACCATTTCCGGTAAAGCCCACGCAGATATGATGTTTCCCACGTCAGCAGCACCTGAGAACCTTGAGGGTCTTGTGTCCCTGTTCTCACGCTAAACCCTTGGCAGAGCTTGGAAGAAGAGCCAGCTTCCCTTGCTTCTCTTTCTTGCTCCCTGCTCAGAAAACTCAGACACAGAGTCAGAATCCCAGGCGGTGGGGGGGGGGGGGGGGGGGGGGGGGCGCTCCACCGTGGGAACTGGCCTCTCTTCCCACCAGACACGCGTGCCTCCCACACGGGAGCTCTTACATCCACATGTTAGAAAGCGCTCTTGCCCTTCACTCCCCAGATCTCAAAGGATTTGTACGAACAACTGTCCCTTCCTAATGCACAGTCCCCTCCATTTCACAGACAGCGAAAGTGAGGTGCGGGTGGGATCACTCAAAACCCCAGGTTCTCGGAGCCCAGCAGAGACCCGGGCCTGCGGCAGAAGCCGAACGCAGATCCCAGGGCAAGTCGGCCTTGTGGAGAAGGCAGAGCCTCTTAGAAAACTGGCTCCGGGCAATTTGATTAGTAAGTGTTCTAAAGTATGAGAAATGGAGGGCATTTTACCCTGATGAATATCTCAATCCTCCATCATGAAAGAGGAAGAAACTCCTGGCAATAGCGATTCACAGAATTAGAGAGGAAACTCTGAAAGTCCATCAAGAAAGCCACTGACATAAGATAGGTGTGCCCATTTTCTTTTGTTTAGAAGCAGGGAAATGCATGGAATCTATTTCCTGGTAATTGTCCGAATAAAGTGGGCATTCCTACCAGGAGACCGCTGATTATGTACCTCTTGCTGGGTAGGGAAAAAATTGAAATAGGCTTTTGCGGTTTCTTAACCATAGATCTGATCTGCCAGGCACTTCTAATGCCTTTGGGGAAAAAAAAATCTTCATAGATTTCTCTTCAAACATTTTTGTAGAATCCTCTCCATTGGAAGCACCTTTTGGTTTTTTCTCTGGGCTTTCTTCTCCCCCCCCCCCCCCCCCCGCCCCATAATCCTTGGCACTGTGCCTTTCTTGTAGCCTCGAAAAATTGGCCGGGACCCTGGGGCAGTAAGGGCTCTGACAAATGAAGACAGCCTCACGCCAGGCACACTTTTGTCCCTCACGTTCACGTGTTTTTCGGTTCCCTTGCCAAACGCCCAGTGTGTGTTTGTTCTCACTGTCGCCAAGGCCCTGTCCCGGTACCCGTCTGGACGGGTCTGGTCCAAGTCCAAGGATCCAAGCTGACCGGACATCTGGATCCCCAGTTTCTCCATCAGGGAAATGAGGGAAATTACAGCCGTGCACAGGGTTGTTGGGGGAGTTCCGGAAAGGGTCTGGTGCATAGTTAATGAGTTGGTGATCACAGTTGTCATCACTCGTGTTTTAATGCTCCTTGTAACTTAGGGCCTCGGTTTGGCTAAATCTTCTATGCTGGTCCCTGCTTTAGCAGAACAGGGCAGCTGCGAGACATCTTTGCTGAGAGAGGAGAGGCACAGGTGTTGTGAGCTGGAAGGGGACCCTTACATCAGTTAATGTAATCGTCCCGTCCCCCATCCCCCCCCATGGAAAAAGGAGTCTGAGAAGAGAACGCTTACAGTGGGATGCGACTCTGTCGGTATCCCACCTTCATCTGGAAGCAGATAAAGCAAGAAACAGCCAGGTAAGTGTGTTTATGCCGATTTTAGAGATGAAAGGAACTGAGCTTTGGGGGTTGGCCCCCATCACACAGTGATGAAGGTTAGAGCAGGGACTTGGATTTGGAGCGGGCTGACCAGGTGTCCGTGGAGGTGGCGTCCGGCCCCAGGAGGCTGGCCGCGTGGCGCGTGGCCCAGGTCCCCACGGCGGGCTCAGCTTTCCTGTCTCCTCCAGGCTCCAGATGCTCGAGGCCATCTGCAAGCACTGGGAAGGACCCATCAGCCTGGCCCTCTACCTGTCGGACGCCGAAGCCCAGCAGTTCCTCCGCTACGCGCAGGGCTCCGAGGTGCTCATGAGCCGCCACAACGTGGCCTACCACATCGTGTACAAGGAGGGCCAGTTCTACCCTGTGAACCTGCTACGCAACGTGGCCATGAAGCACGTGGGCACGCCCTACATGTTCCTGTCTGACATCGACTTCCTGCCCATGTATGGGCTCTATGAGTACCTCAGGTGAGGCCCGGGGGACACCGGCTTGGGCGGCACCGGGACTAGAACACTCCCTGGGAGCATCCTCCCGTCCAGGTCTTCCCTCTTAAAGATGGGGCAGCTGGGACCCAAAAGGGGACTGCACCTGCCCACGTCCACCCAGAGATAGAGCACTGCCCACCGGGTTTGGCAGGGCCATTTAGGCAATCTAGTGTCCTCGTTTTCCTGACGAACAGGCCAGAACCCCACTTTGCATACCGAAATGTTAAAAGTGGCAGGTGGTCTCAGACATGTCTCTTTGGCTCCCGGTCTAATGCTCTCTCTCTCTAGCTGCTAGGGAAACATGTCCTCCCTCTTCCAGTTTGGGATCAGATGACCTTCATCTAACCATTCTAGAAAGATCACTTCCTATTCTGTAAAACAAAGCAAAGTGATGGTGAAGGCTAGCACTGTTCTGAGTGCCTGACGAGTCGGAGTTCATTCCCACCCGCTGCGGTCCCTGGGCCGGCCACTATTATTACCTTCATTTCCCAGACGGGTGTGCGTGGGGCTGAGATCGGGAGCTGCGAGCCCACGGTTACACACTGACCCACGTGGAGGCCGGGGTCAGCCAGTCCGACTGCAGAGCCGTGGGCTGAGTCGCCGTCTCAGCTGCCTCTATGACTCTCCAGTGACCCGTCCCAGCTCTGCCCACATGGCAGGGCAGCCGTCCAGCAGCTGGAGAAGGCCCTCAGCCCATGGAAGGCTGGAGAGCTGTGTGGGGAGCGACATTTGTTATGGAATGACAACCAGTCTGGACGGAAAGGGGCTGCTGAATTCATACAGCCCGACAGTCCCCATGTGGCTAAACTAAAGTCACGAGGTGTAAATCAAGATGTAACTGGTCAAGCCTTTTTTTTTTTTTAATCCTTTATTTCTGGCTTTTGTCGGCATGAATTCTCTCTGCTGCTGGGTGATACGTGCCTGAGTCCAGGTACCGGGAGAGATGGTTTGCACTTACTAATTATCCTGCTGGATCCACACATCAAGCCCAAAAGGCTGGCAGCGTTCCCCCCTTTTACTGTGGGCAACAGCGAGGCTCGGAGAAGCAGAGTCCCCTGCTCCCGTCCACACGGCTTTGCTCCAAGATTGGAACCAGTGTCTGTCAGACTCCAGGTGGGCAGGCGCCCAGCTCCATACTTGCCTGGCTACTCTGGGGTTACTGACTGTCCCCAGACAGGGCAGGAATAGAGTAGAGTTGTTTCTCTCCTGCTCTCTTGCCCTCCCCTCACTCTGTCTGTCTCTGTCTCTCTTTCTCTTACTGTCTCTGTAGGATTTCCTAACTTCAGTCCCTCCCCTGTGAGGGGGAGGAGCCCTTTCCTGCCTCTGTCCGCTGCGCTGGGGCGGCATGACCCCCAACCAGGGAGGATGGGAGGTGTCTTCCCAAAGAGCATGGGCTGTGCTGTCCCAACTCCTGATGCCCGCACAGGGCTCCCCGCACAGGGCTCCCCGCACGGGTCTGTCGTCCTGCTCTGTGCCGGGCCTTGGAATCCCGTGTGTGGGCTGAGGGCGCCCCCGTGTGGCCAGACCGTGCTTTCAGCGCCTGATTCCGGGAGATTCGGAAGCCCCCCCAGCCTGCAGCATCACAAGCTCTGGGAGTCTGGGGGCGGGGATGGGGGCGAGGGCTTCCCAAAGGAACAGATGGTGGGGGCCGCCCTCCACCAAGAAAAGAGAGGCTTGAGGATTAGACTGCAGCCCCGTCCTCCCCGCGAAGGGGCTCTTCTGCAGGAGCACCTGAGGGGACTTCATTCCAAGGAGCTGGAGGTGAACTGGCCCTCTCCTAAGGATCTGTAGTCTGCTCCCCACCTCCAAACTCTTTTATTATTTTATCTCATGGGCCTCGTGTTTTAAAAAAACCGCACAGTAACAGATTGTTTCTGTGTTCTGTTCCTATGTTGTATTGATCAAAAATGCTATTAATCTCCCATGCCGGTCACCTCTAATAGCATCTCAAATAGCATCTTGACCTTACTCAGTAGGAGCTAACCAGCATTGCCTACTAATTAACACGTTCTTTTTTTTTTTTTAAAGATTTTATTTATTTATTTGAGAGAGAGAGAATGAGAGACAGAGAGCATGAGAGGGAAGAGGGTCAGAGGGAGAAGCAGACTCCCCGCCGAGCAGGGAGCCCGATGCGGGACTCGATCCCGGGACTCCAGCATCATGACCTGAGCCGAAGGCAGTCGCTTAACCAACTGAGCCACCCAGGCGCCCTACACCTATGTTTTAAAGATTTTATTTATTTATTTGAGACAGAGAGAATGAGAGACAGAGAGCATGAGAAGGAAGAGGGTCAGAGGGAGAAGCAGACTCCCTGCCGAGCAGGAAGCCCGATGCGGGACTCGATCCCGGGACTCCAGCATCATGACCTGAGCCGAAGGCAGTCGCTTAACCAACTGAGCCACCCAGGCGCCCTAATTAACACGTTCTTAATGCCAAGTCACCCGAGGCTTGGTTGGCCTTTGGCCCCTTGTTACGGGAAGGTGCGTGGTTCCCCTTGGGGAGTTTGAAATATTGCACATCGCTCCTAAAATGTTGCTGCTCTCTTCCATAGGCCCTACAGAAGTCCAGAGACCCTACCCTGAGTGAGAAGAAATGATCTTGTCCAGTCTTCTTTTTTTAATTAAGTTTTTCATTGTAATTCCCGTATAGTTAACATACAGTGTAATATCAGTTCAGGTACAATATAGTGACTCAACTTCTCCACACATCACCTGGCGCTCATCACCACAGGTGCACTCCTTAATCCCTATCACCTGTTTCATCCGTCCATTTCCCGCCCCCTCTTTCCCTCTGGTAACCAGCAGTCTGTTCTCCGTAGTTCAGAGTCTATTTCTTGATATACCTCTCTGTCTGTTTATTTTTAACTTTGCTCATTTGTTGGGTTTCTTAAATTCCATATATGAGTGAAATCGTACAGTATTTGTCTTTCACTGACTAAATGACTTCTCTTAGCATGATACTCTCTAGCTCCATCCATGTCATTGCAAATGGCCAGATTTCATTCCTTTTATGGCTGAGTAATATTCCACTGTATATATGTACCACAACTTCTTTACCCGTTGATCTTTTGATGGACACTTGGGCTGCCTCCATAACTTGGCTATTGTAAATAATGCTGCATGTATCCCTTTGAATTAGTGTTTTTGTATTTTGGGGGTAAATACCCAGTAGTGCGATTGCTGGGTCATAGGGAAGCTCTATTTTTAACTTTCTGAGGAACCTCCATACTGTCTTCCAGAGTGGCTGCACCAGTTTGCATTCCTACCTAACAGTGCACAAGGGTTCCCCTTTCTCAGCATCCTCGCCAACACCTGTTGTTTCTTGTGTTGTTGATTTTAGCCATTCTGACAGGTGCATGGTGATATCTCATTGTGGCTTTGATTTGCAGTTCCCTGATGATGAATGAGTGTTGATGAGCATCTTTTCTTGCGTCTGTGGCCATCTGGATGTCATCTTTGGAGAAATACCTGTTCATGTCTTTTGCCTATTTTTTAGTGGGATTATTTGGTCTTGGGGTGTTGAGGTGTATTGTCCAGTCTTCTTTGTAAAGTACACATGTGGAAACTGAGACCGGAAAAGCCATGGCTTGCCTGTCTAGAATGACCGGACATTGTGACTTTCTTCATTCTTCTGCTCCATCTTTAGTATTCATTCATCTTTTCATTAATTTAGTGGGTAAACTTTTATAAGGTACCTACTACTATGTGCCGCCATATCTGTGAACCAGACATAGGACCTGTGAATCCCAGCACTTACAGACCAGCAGGAATGACAGTTAATTAAAGATGCAGATTCTTTAGATTCTGTGATGGGGGTGTCCCCTCCCAGTGGGATTCACCTAGTCTGGGGATGGGAGGAAGGGACATCCTGAAGAAGACAGATCCAAACGGAGGCTGAGTTAGAGTCCGCCAGTGGAGGTGGCGATGTTCCAGACAGAAGGAGCCGTCCATTCCAGAGGTGCAAGATGGCCAGGGCCTTGACGGGGAGAGCAACAAGAGACGATGTGGCCAGAAATGTAAGCTGGGGTGGGTCCCGCAGGACTTCTTATAAAACATGCTGAGGAGTGTGGGCTCCATGAGGGAGGAGAGCAGTGGAAGGTCACTGGGAGAATGGGCAGATTAGATGTTTGTTTCGGGAAGATCATTCTAGTGGCTTTCGAAGGATCAGAATCAGCAGGGCCAGAGCAAGGGGGATAAGTGAAGGGACTATTGTGTTAATCCAGGCAAGAGGCACGGAGGGCCCGATGCAGGGATCAGAAGCAGCAGGGTGACGGGTAGACGGACCAGTGAGAGATTCGGCAGCTGAAGTCAGGAACTGTCTGCCAAGGTGTCTGGACTTTGAAAGGGAAGGTGGGAATCTCCCAAGTGCTGCCACCCGAGTCTTCCTTTGCAAAGCCTATACTCAGAAGTCCTGCTTCTGTGGCCCGTCTCTCATGCCGGTCGCCTCCTGCTCTGCTGTGCCCAAGTCCTTCCTGGACTGGGCAGGATATCATGGCATTGACTTTTGAGAGTTATGGTGGACAGGACGCTTGCTGAGGCCCAGGACTCCTGTCCTGCTCACCCTGGTGCCTTAGTGAACTGTGTGACTTCCAGCAATTCTGTTTTCAGCCTGTTTCCTCATTGTCAAGTGAAGAAATGATCTTATATCAGGCGTCATAAAGGCAGATGCCCGCAGGGGCCAGGACCTTAGCCCAAAGGAGCCAAGAATGCTGAGTAAGATTCTCTAGAGAGACCATGGCTCCCATCTTAGGCTCTTGGCTTCTCTCCACTCCAGATGTGGCATGATTGCTTTGGGGAGAGTGGGCAGCAGGGCTAAGGTCTTCATATTTTTCTCTTTTTTTTTTTTTTTTAAGATTTTATTTATATAGTTTAGAGGGTGGGAGAGTGTGTGAGCAGGGGTGGGAGGGGAGGAGGTGCTGAGGGAGAGGGACAAGGACAAGCAGACTCCCTGCTGAGCATGGAGCCCACAGCAGGGCTGGATCT